TGACTTGGAAGTCAGTGACTCAGAGAAGAATTTAGGGGTCATACTAGATAATACCCTTAATAATACCCTTACCATGAGCTCTTAATGTTGTGCTGGGCAGAAAGGACGAGTGGAATTCTTGGATTTATACAAAGGGGAATGGCAAGCAGACGTAGGGAAGTGAGATCTGGCTCTGGACACAGCATTGGTAAGACCACTACCAGATTTCGGTGTCCAATTTTGGTGTCCATGCTTCAAGGTTTCAGAAATACTAGTGAGAGTTCAAAGGATGTACATAAAAACCTGATCCAAGGGCTGGAAGAAAAAAAGCCTTACAATGTGAAACTTACAATGTGAAACTTATTTTGCCTATCAAAAAGAAGGGTAAATGGTGACTTAATAACTGTGTATAAGCAAAGGCATCTTTATAGTGGGGGCTTTTTAGTCTTGGTATTAAAGGAGTAACAAGAGCCAATGGCTGGAAACTGAAGTTAGATAAATTCAGTTTTGAATTAAGATGCAATTTCTTTGCAAGGAATGCCTACTAGAGACACAGTTCTTACTCCTTGAGCTCCTTGCAGTGACTGACCTTGCTCTGTATAGCAACTCTTTTTATATGGGCCTCATGGCCCCACATTGGTTGCTTCCTATACTTTTGATCTAGGATTAAATAAGTAAAGGGATATATGTAATGTAAATTGAGAGCAATCAAATAAGGGAAGACAATATCATTCACATTTCCTTTGAACTAAATTAATGCTTGAGTGAATTAGTACATTTAACATTCCTTTGATATTGGCCTATTATTGTGACTTGAGGTGACCTTTCTGCATCACACCTTTCTTCATGGACAATGAGGAGAGCAGGAAATTCTCATGATTCAGCCACTTGTCTACAGGGGTCAGGAAGGATTTTTTCCTTGATGCATAATTAGCCAGATGTATTCTGAGTTGGAAGCATCAGACTTTGGCCACACATGGAGATGGGACAGTGGCTGGGGTTAACTAGTGCTCTGAGGTGGTGCAGAGAATCCTATCTTACACATGAGTGGAGTGTCTTGCTCACTTGCTAATATTGAAATGGAGTGCCAGATTTGGGATCAGAAAGGAATTATTTCCCACGGCAAGTTGACAGTGTACATGTGTTTTTTCCCCCCACTTTCCTCTTATTCATGGAGAATGGATCACTTGCTAGGATCAGCTCGGCATAGCTCACCTAATCAGTTCTTTGCCATTGAAAAGGCCCAGGTGGCACATCAGTCTTTCCAGTCCTCTGCATGTAACACATAAGAGGTTTGTCTTCCGAGAATGGAAATGTTTTAGTCTAACTAAATAAATGGCCTCAATATAGAGGTAACTGGGTGAAAATTGATGGCCTGCAACATACAGGATTATATCAGATTAGATGATGTATAATGGTATCTTCTAGCCTTAAACTCTCTGAAAATATAACACTATGAAAAATGTCATAGAGTATCATAAATGAATTTAGCATTTTTAGTCAGTGTAAATACTCTGAAAAACTAGTGCACAAATAGAGAAAAGTGCAGACTTTGTATTCCAAAATTCATGTGAAAATGTAAAATGGATAAACCAAAATATTTATAGTCTTTATATAACCGATGATTAAAATAATTCTAGCACATAAATACATATATAATTAGGTATTATCGATTTTATTATTTATTTGTGAGTTTACAATGAGATTATGAGTTCTGTTCATGTGGGTAAGTGTTTGCAGTCCATTTCTTGGTTTACTACTACTACTACCACTGCTGCTGCTACCTCTACTACTACTATTACTGCCACATTTTATTCAAGATTTTAAAGTCCATGTTTTCTTTTGAAATCTGTGAACCCAGCAGAGAAATGTCAGCTTGTGAAAGCATGCATTCAAATGTTCTGCTCAAACATTATTAGATGACAGTGTGATAACAAAAGGTGGGGGTAAGAGGTAAATAAAATATATACAGTGGGTGAGGTTCTCTGCTATGCCCAGCTTGTGTTGAGTTCAGCAGAGTAAGAGAGCTTGCCATGGCTCTAACATGTATTTAGAGCCTTGAACCAACTAACATTGGTATCTAAGGGTATGTCTACACTACCCTCCTCGTTCGAACTAGGAGGGTAATGTAGGCATACCGCACTTGCAAATGAAGCCCGGGATTTGAATTTCCCGGGCTTCATTTGCATAAGCGGGGAGCCGCCATTTTTAAAACCCCGCTGGTTCGAACCCCGTGCAGCGCTAACCTTCTCCTGTGTCCTGACACATCACCTGAATATATTTTTTCCTCCTGATCTATTAAAAAGAATTTATATTTTCATGACAATAATTGTTACCTTTGGGCTGTTTTAAGGGGACTTTACTTATAGTAGACATTGCGTGTATGGAATGTTTGCAATACTGCTTAGCAGAAAGCAAACGACCCTGGTTCCATGGAAGCCAAATTGACATAAAAATCATTTAAATAAGTGAAGAAGACAAAAATAAAATTATGTAATGTTTTTATTTTGAATATACAATGAACCCTCGTTTATCGCGGTAGATAGGTTCCAAACCCGACCGCGATAGCTGAAAATCCGCGAAGTAGGGACACCATATTTACGTATTTATTTAACATGTATACAGTGAGCCCTCGCTACTTCGCGGTTCGACCATCGCGGATTCACGTATATACATACGTAATGAAAAAAGTCCGCGAAGTTGTGAATCCGCGATGGTCGAACCGCGAAGTAGCGAGGGCTCACTGTACTTAAAACACCTTTTCCATTTTATTCTGCTCCCATGTTGAGCTGACTGGTAATAGGAGTAGCCTTGTATCTTAATAAAATTTAAAGATGGAAGAAGCCTTTTAGATCATAAGGCACACCCAACTGAAAGACCCAAGATTTCCTGACAGTCACTGCTAGCTGCTAATCATATCAACTGATGCATTGTCTAAAGCAGCACCACAGAAAGAAGTTGTTCATATTCTGTTAGACAACACTCCCCGGCTGTGTCTAGACTGCATCCCTTTTCCGTAAAAGGGATGCAAATTAGACACATCGCAATTGCAAATGAAGCGGGGATTTAAATCCCCCCCCCGCTTCATTTGCATAAACAGGCCTGCCGCTTTTTTCCGGCTTGGAGCATTGCCGGAAAAAAGCGCCAGTCTGGACGGGGATCTTTTGGAAAATAAAGCCTTTTCCGAAAGATCCCTTATTCCTCTTAAAATAAGGAATAAGGGATCTTTCGGAAAAGACTTTATTTTCCGAAAGATCCCCATCCAGACTGGCGCTTTTTTCCGGCAAAGCTCCGAGCCAGAAAAAAGCAGCAGACATGTTTATGCAAATGAAGCGGGGGGGATTTAAATCCCCGCTTCATTTGCAATTGCGATGTGTCTAATTTGCATCCCTTTTACGGAAAAGGGATGCAGTCTAGACACAGCCCCAATCTTTTATTATTCCATCTTTCTACTTACTACTCAGGCTACTAGTATGTATTCACCTATAACAAATGCCAACAATATATTTTTTTTAGGTTGCTTTACATTATTTACCTTTCTGTCTCCCAGCCACAGCTATGCTTAATAGCTAGCTGGTCTTGCTGAGTGAGTATGTAAACAGTCTTTGCCTAAATTTGTAGCATTTTTATAATGTATTTCTCAGGAACATTGATAATATGTAAGACTATGTCTCCACGTTTCCCCACAGTTCCCTCTATGCAAAGATCTGCTTCTCCAATCCCAGTGCATCAGGCTGTGTCTAGACTACAAAGTTCTATCGGAAAAAAATGCAAATTGCGAACCGCTTTTCTTCCAGAAGAGGCTTTTCTGACAATTGGTCCCTCTACACTGGGCCAAATGTTGGGAAAAAAGCTTCTTTCTTTCTTTCATCCCTTCTTCCTCGTAGAACTATGTTTATAGCGATGCCGAAAAAACACATCTGCTTTTCCGCATTCCTTAGACATGGCAGAGCTTTTCTGGGATACCTCCAGTATCCCAGAAAAACTTTGCAGTCTAGACATACCCTAGGTCTTTCACCTTCCTCCTGTAGCCCTATTTCATCCCCATTGCTCTTCCACAGATTCTATCCCTACCTCAGCATTGAGGGATCTGAACAAATATATACTATATATTTGAGAGAGTTTGTCTGTCTCTGTTTGTTCAAGAATGCCTCCTAAACATAAGAGCCAGGACCACTTAATTAAGTATACAGCTTCCCCTTTTCATAACTTAAAGCAAGGTCAGGTTTGGTTGTGCCAGGAGAATGGAATGTGCTTTCTCAGAAAACCATACAGAAATGAGGTAGAATTACCAGGCAGGTGAAAGAGGCTGGCTGGGGTTGCCCCCTCTCCTGTCCAGGATTGGCCCAGCCCTGAGCCTCCCACCTCCCAGGTGCCCTTTAGGGAAGGGGAGGGCTGAAGCTTTTCTCCCTGATTCATATATGAACATTGCCGGCTGTTCCCCTTTGTCAGTGAGCAAGGGGAAGGTGCAGCTTGCTGCATTCCACACCCTGGCTGGGAGGTGGGAGGGTCAGACTCCTTTGCAGATCAGTAGAGTAGGGACAGCTAGGATTTGTGCCTACTAATTAAGTTTAAGAGGTGAATGTAAAGGAAAATTGTTATACCTCTTTAATAGAACTCTAAGGACCCAGTCCTGCAAATATATAGGCATGTGCTTAACTGTGTGCCTGCAAGCATTCTCATTAATGGGACAACTGACACATGTAATGTTAAGGATGTGCACAAGTGTTTGCAGAATTGGGACATACATTTGGATCTTTTGTCTCCAAAACAATGTCAAAACAAGAAAATTCCCATCTAATTATAGCCCATTGTATCGACTATTCTAAATGTTACGTCAAATGCCGTGAAAGGGCTGTTTAGATTCAAAGAGGAGGACCAGCTTAAGCCAGTGTGTCTTCCTAATACTAATCGGTATGATGCAATTACCCAATTATCCATATTATGCTTTAGTTAAAGAAAGAACATTTTAAATTACTGCATCTTTTATCCTAACACTCGCTTCTTCTTCTCTTTTACAGGAAAAAGTAGAATATGCCTTCCTGATTATTTTTACAGTTGAAACGTTTTTGAAGATTATAGCATATGGATTATTATTACACCCCAATGCATACGTTAGAAATGGATGGAATTTACTGGATTTTGTAATAGTAGTAGTAGGGTAAGTCACTCACACTTCACTTTTTAAAAAAGGCTTTAAAAACATTGTTCTGGAAATGGGGTATCATTTTTATGACAAGGTAGCTGTATGCCTTAGTCTGATGGGACTAAGAGTTTATGGCTTCTCACTTTTACTCATATATACTGTATTGTTCAGTTTACATGAGTGAGGATGCAGGATCAAATCCTAAAAGATTTCCAGTTCAGAATGGAGAACCTTGGGATCATATTGTTCAATCAGCCTCAAAGCAGAAGACCATAATGAATTAAATGAGTTCTGCTTAGAATCTGATGGCATAACAAGATCCAATATTGGAGTTCTTTCCTGCAAACTCGTGTACATATGAGTTGTCCCATTGCACCCAATGGGACTGTTCAGATGAATAAAGGTTTGTTGGGTTGGGTCCATAATTCTTCAGGACTCAGATGTGTAGAGTTACACTGCCTGCCTCACATGCAGCACCAGAAAAGCTCTTCCTGTACCTGCTGAGCCTCCCTGGCATGAAAGAGAGATGGAACACTTCTGTCCTCTTTCATGGGGTGTCACACACTGGTACCCTCCTTACCATACAGCTTGGTGCAGAGGATAGGTTGGAGCCATGACTCTGTTTACATCCTGCCCTCCCTGTCCCATGTGGAGGTTCCATGACCCCCCAGGAGAGTAGTTAGGAAGCACGTCCAGCACTCTCCATTATGTAGGAACAACCCTTCTGCCCAGCCCACAAGTGTGGGGAAATTCCTTATTGCTACCTAATTGTCACTATGTAATGGTGCAAAGGCTCTGTAACATCTGTCCCTTGTTGTACCAGCAGGTTTTATATTCTGACTTGTCGTTGATTCACTTTGTGTTACATGCTACATGAGAAGACTCTACATCTGAGCATCAAAGAGTTAATCTTACTGCATATGTTCTCTTTTTCCCCTAAAGATGCAGATATTGTCTGATGAGACTGAAATAAGGAATTTTTTCAATAGTGAAGATCCTGTTAAGTAAAGAAATGAAAATAAAAAGGTCCCAGTGAAATGCTGCGCCATTTAATATAACTCGAAATACTGCTGCTGACTTGCACAGACAGCCTTGGCATATAACATCCCATAATCATAATACAGTTTTAAAAACAGTTTAAATGATACTCAGAATTTGCCTTTTTAACTGAAATGAGCCAGGAATTTGAGAGACTGAGCAAGAGAAGGAGACCTGCCCCGACAGAGGGAGAGATAAGCTGGCAATTACCTTGGGGCCTGGAAATTCAAAGGGGCCTGGTCTCCTAGCCCCAGCCGTTGGTACTGCAACAGCAGTGGCTGGAGCTTCAGGCCCTTTAAATTAGGAGGGCTGAGTGTCCTTAGCCCCGCCCCTTTTGTCCACGGCCCACTTCTTCTGAGGCATGGAACTGCCCTCCCCACACCTTGACCCGGATCCAGTGGTGGCTGTCAGTCCTGCTGTTCCAACGTCACGTCACTGAGGTATAAAATAGCGTATGGGGAGACTGTGTTATACCATCTTGTACGTTACCTCTATAGTTGGCTCTGTCTCAAAAACATCATATTATGACAAGAAAATTATCACCTAGTTACTACAACTGGATAATTTTAATTACATCAAATGCTAAGCCTGAATCCAGGTAAATAAGAATTGGATTGTCTCCCATCAAATATTCATTTTGTGACCCAAGTCACCAAACCAGAATAAGAAGGCTTATTGTATGAGGTGCAAACCATGTAGTCAAAGATCCAACCCACCATGACAGAGTACAAGGAACCCTAAGAAAACACAGGTCAGTGCTCTTACCCAAGCACCCACGTTTTAAGATAATCAGTTACAGAACATAAGGGCCAGTTATTTGATTTACGTACACCCTTAAGAGAGAAGCCCACTGAAAAACTGATTTTTGTATTTGACCCTATGTAGAAGGAAAATCAACTTTGGATATGATTCTTCTTGAATTAATTCATTATGGAACTTCATTAGACATTTTAATAGCTTCAAAGGACTGCCATTGGTGTCCAGCATTACACGCATTAAATTAAATGCTTTTATTGTGCATTGTCAGCACAAAATGTAATGGTTTCAATGGCGAAATCATTACAGGTGTTCCAAGGTGCACATCTGTAAGACAAGAAACTATGATGCATATACAGAAAGCAGTTTTCTAGAATAAATAATTTGGGCATTTAATTGAAAGATTATTAAATGACCTTAATGCACTGTGTTGGATAGTAAATCTTATGTTTTCAAGAAAACCAAGTGCTTGATGGCTTTGCAGCTTGATGAGGACTGATATATGCTGGCACAGCTGAAAGTCAGCCCTGCACTTTTTTCTCTGTCCCAACTCAGTCAAAACTCTCATTGAAATCAATCAGTGTATTGCTTAGGGAATATTCCACCCACTTGTTTAGTGCCTGGTCCTCCATTTTCTTTTCAGGCTAAATTTCCACTGATGTCAGTGGGAGCTTTGCCTGAGAAAAGGCTCCAGAGTCAGATCCCAAGGATGGAAGTTTGCATAGCAGTTCTCTGTACCCATGGACCTCTGGTTTGAAGGAATTACTTATCCACTAAGTGCCTGACAGCCTCTCCCCCACTCAGGCCTGATTCAGCAATGTACTTAAGCATCTTCCTAACTTTAGGAACCTGAATATTTTAATTGAAGTCAATGTGATTACCTGCATGCTTACAGTTAGGCCCGTATATAACTGGGGGATAAACTGTTAAATGTCTGCATTCTGCCATCGCTTAAGATATGTTGATCTCTGGATTTGCATAAATTCAGTTGGTCAGATCAGGACCCCAAGATCTGAGAACTCCTAGGAAAGGGGAGTGAGTGATCCAAGTTGGGTGTTCATGGGCTCTGGGAAGAAGCTTCCAGTATTCCATTCTGGCAAGCTACTAAACATAACGGCTGTGTCTAGACTGGCCAGTTTTTCCGGAAAATCAGTCGCTTTTCCGGAAAAACTTGCCAGCTGTCTACACTGGCCGCTTGAATTTCCGCAAAAGCACTGACTTCCTACTGTAAGAAATCAGTACTTTTTGCGGAAATACTATGCTGCTCCCATTCAGGCAAAAGTCCCTTTTAATAGAATCATAGAATAATAGGACTGGAAGGGATCTCGAGAGGTCATCGAGTCCAGCCCCCCCGCCCTCAAGGCAGGATCAAGCTCCGTCTACACCATCCCTGACAGATGCCTATCTAACCTGTTCTTAAATATCTCCAGAGAGGGAGATTCCACCACCTCCCTTGGCAATTTATTCCAATATTTGACCACCCTGACAGTTAGGAATTTTTTCCTAATGTCCAATCTAAACCTCCCCTGCTGCACTTTAAGCCCATTACTCCATGTCCTGTCCTCAGAAACCAAGAGGAACAAATTTTCACCTTCCTCCTTGTGACACCCTTTTAGATATTTGAAAACCACTATCATGTCCCCCCTTAATCTTCTTTTTTCCAAACTAAACAAGCCCAGTTCATGAAGCCTGGCTTCATAGGCTTCTCTAGACCTTTAATCATTCTTGTCACTCTTCTCTGTACCCTTTCCAATTTCTCCACATCTTTCTTGAAATGTGGCGCCCAGAACTGGACACAGTACTCCAGCTGAGGCCTAACTAGTGCAGAGTAGAGCGGCAGAATGACTTCACGAGTTTTGCTTACAACACACCTGTTGATACAACCTAGAATCATATTTGCTTTTTTGGCAACAGCATCACACTGTTGACTCATATTCAACTTGTGGTCCACTATGACCCCTAGATCCCTTTCCGCCATGCTCCTTCCTAGACAGTCGCTTCCCAAGCAGCACTGCAATTCTGGATGCTTTATAACTAGAGCTGTGAAAAACCTTCCAGACAAAACTCAGAAACAGAGGAAATTTGCCTGCTTTCATGTCTATTTTAGAAACCTAAAATACAGGACAAGTTCATCCAAATTTTTGCTGAGGTCACACACCTTTCAGTGGAACAAGGCTGAGTAGATCAGGCATTGGGCGATAGATCTGTGTGGAAATCTGTATATTGCTCACTGTGGCTTACATGACTCAGACCTGAAATCTAGCAAAACATGGAAGTTTTCACAGCCCAAATAGAAGTATAGCTGCAAAATTAAATACACTTTAAGACCACTTCTGACCTTAACTGGTTGCTTCAGTTTTAACTGTCATTGTAACTGAACTTCCATTCTAAGAGTACTTTTCTCATTGACTTCTGTCATCTAAGAAATGCGTTATGAAATGTCTGACTGTAAGGAAGGCTGGGTTTTTGTTGTTGTTTTTGTTTGTTTTTTTGCTATGTTTAGCATGTTGAACTGTAGTGTCATTGGGAGTTCATATAATTTACACAATTTAAAACTGGTAGTTTCTTGTCATTATCTGTTTAATGTTCTAAAAGAGAGATTGATTTTTGCAAACCTCATATTCCATAATGGTTTAACAAAAAGCAACGATAAAGTAGCTTCATCTGTGTAAAACTGGCAGAGTGTAAGCTAGCCGAATGTTAATGTAGTGGCTATTATGCGATCATCTTTCTCTTAGAGGAGTAGAAGCTCTTTTACTTCATAACTCTTCTGACATATTTTAATACATAAATACATGTCTCCTTCTGACATCTGAACAGCTTTTTCAGAACTATCCACAGTTCAAGCAATTCCTAACACTTTTGATTACTTGATAAATGGTTGGTGATGATGACCTTGCTTTTCTTTTTATTTGGTAGATTGTTTAGTGTAATTTTGGAACAATTAACCAAAGAATCAGAAGGAGGTAGCCACTCAGGTGGCAAACCAGGTGGCTTTGATGTCAAAGCCCTAAGAGCCTTCCGTGTGTTGCGACCGCTCCGGCTTGTATCAGGAGTACCCAGTAAGTTATTTTATATTTAATTGTGTTGGTGTGAATAAAAGAACCATTCTATTGTATTATCTTTCCAGATTATTTAACCTTCTTTCTCCAGAGAGTAGAATAAAAGTGACAGGATGAAGCTGATTTTAGTTATCTGGTTATGTAGATAAAATGTGTTTCAAGATGTATGATATCCTGTTTGAAGCAGCATAAGGGATTGTGAACTCATTCAGTGTATGATCATCTTACACAGTTCAGGAGGCAGACAGAAGAGTACATTTAACTTTTAGGAATTTTATATGAAGTAAATTACATAGCAAAAGAAGATGCTCCAGATACTTCTTTGGGGTATCAAAATCCTGGGAAATTTACTGTGTAGGTAGTCCTAAAATTGACTGTATGTGTACACCACAGCAAAAAACACGTTTTCTGCCCTCCCTGCACACAAATAATTCCTGTTGATCTTAACTGGATTCATGCCTCAGGGAATAAAAGAGCAATTTTCAAAACTAGAAAACTTAAAAAATAGAGACTTTATTTTAAAAGAAGATATTTGAAATTTCTAATTATTCTTTCTATTTTCTTTTAATTCATTACTAATTACTGGTGTTTTGAGTTGACTGGTGTTTTGTTTCCCACATTTGATCCAGCAGCAAAGTAAAAATGCGGTGTTTATTACATCATAATCTGTTGCCGTGGAAATAATTGTGATGGTACAGCTTTGTTAAAATAACTTCAGTGGAGAATCAAGCAGATGGGGAGAGGAAGGTTGATCTGTGAGGGAGAAAACCTTTGTTTAAATATACAAAGGAGACTGATTCTGTCTTCTTTGATACCTGGCCACTCCTAGTCACTTGTGGCTTGAAGTGTTATCAGTGAGAGCAGAATTTGATACATATACATTTAGGGAAAAGAAAAACTATAAAAACTATGTAGAAGGTTAATTAATGTGTCCAAATATTTTAAAGGTGTTTTCGGTGTATCAGTTTTCAAGATCTTTACTGTATAGCTGCAGTGCTCTCTAATAGCATTGTAGGCCTTCTGGAGACCTTCAATGAGCTCAGTGCAGCTGGATTTCCCCTGCACCTGCCTGCCCTAAGCTCATTGCAAGATGACAGCCTGAGCACAGGATTCTTCAAGATTCTCCAGTTGATGTAAAATCCCAGCCCGCACCTTGAATTCATTCCATCTAAGGGGTTTGGATTCTTGTTGCTGCTTTTCAAGCATTGTTTTGTATTACATTAACATCGCTGAATGCAGACCGTGTTCAGTTAGAATTTTGGAACAGACTACAACGCTTTAAAATCTTTCAAAGTGGCTCTATGCTTCAATATTCACTTTTGAGCAGCTTCAAAATTCTGATTGTGCTGGTGCAGGAAGATTGTGGTGAATCTTGTTTGGGGGAACCATAGATTTACCACACTTTTAAAATTGATGGCATGCTATATTTATATATGTTTCTAATTATGTTCTAATTCCAGCAGATTTCATAATCAGGAAAAGTTAATTCCATAGAAAGTCTGGCTCAATACCTTTGTGTATGCTTTTTTTTTTTAGGTTTACAAGTTGTCCTGAACTCCATTATAAAAGCCATGGTTCCCTTGCTCCATATTGCCCTTTTGGTATTGTTTGTAATCATAATCTATGCTATTATAGGATTGGAACTTTTTATTGGAAAAATGCACAAATCATGTTTTCTTGTTGATACAGGTAAGTAATGAAGCCATTAATTTATACAAGGGACCAATCTCATTCCCTTTAAAATCAATAGGACTTCAGCAGAGGCCCTAAATGTTAAAACTACTGTAAATCTGAGTTTCCATAGGGATGCATGATTTTGGGAAAAAGCATGTCAAAAAATTTAGCCAGTGGGTCAGCTCAATAATGCAGCAGCAGCAGGAAACACAGTAATTGGACTTTGAATCCCAAGCTAGTGCAGAGCTAGTCATATCATAGAGCGTACATACCCTCCTGAGGCAGAAAGCTGGCTGTCTCTCTACTTCAGCACTTTGGGCCGCATGATTATAGGAACAAGCAAGTTCTGAGATGAGTAATAGACTAATCCAATCTTCCTACATTCAGATGGGGATTTAAATGATACTGTGAAAACATTTGATATGGGAGGTCTTCAGAGGAATGAAAGATTATCAGTAGAGAAATGAAGTTTTGTAAGTAGAGTACGTTTCCACTAGTGAGTCTGGAATCGAACAAACTAAATGCATGATCTAGTCCGGGACTACTTATCTGTGAAGAGGAAGGAAGTTGTTAATATGGGATGGAAGGAAGAAAGAAAGAGTAATGAGAAGTAAGCAAATGTTTGATCAACTTCAGTAACAGAAAGATTTTTTCAGATATTACCCAAAATTGTCAACATGCTTCCTTTCATTTGCACTGTTGTAGTCAGGCTGGCTCCAAGACATGAGAGAGATAAAGTGGGTCAGATAATATCTCTGGACCAGCTTCTGCTGGTGAAAAAGTCAAGCTTTTGACCTGCACAGAACTGTTCTTCAGGTCTGGAAAAAGTATTTGGTGTCACAGCTAAATACAAGGTGGAACAGAGTGTTAACCCCTTGTGATTAACAATTTGTCCTACCTTCTGATTTGCTGTGACAGTCCAATGACTGTTTTCAGATTTGAAGAAGAGCTCTGTGTATATAAAGCTTATCTACTTCATCAACAGAAATTAAAATATATTACCTACCCACCTTCTCTCTTTCATGTCATTGTTATTTCATATGAAGTGTTTTCTCTGTTCATTTTTGAGTATGACAACATTTATAAATGTAGGATGTGATCCTGAGAGATGATGAGCACCCTGCATCAAACCTTAGATCCCCAGCACTTTGCAGGATTGATACTTGAATGAATAATCTCTGCAAGTGATGCTTGAGTCTTGGCGTTTCTCCTCACAAGCAAGTTAGTCACACACAAAAAATTGATACTGCAGAATTCTGAAATATTTTCTGGTCAATTTCAGATATATTAGCTGAAGATGATCCAGCACCTTGTGCGTTCTCAGGGAATGGACGTCAGTGTGCCATGAATGGCACCGAATGTAAGGGCGGCTGGGTTGGACCAAATGGAGGCATAACCAACTTTGACAATTTTGCCTTTGCAATGTTAACTGTGTTCCAGTGTATAACCATGGAAGGATGGACTGATGTGTTATACTGGGTAAGTAACTTAGCAAGAAATAGAAATCTCTGAACTTTGCTTACTATTAAATAAGCTTCAATATGCAGATGAGAAACTAACTGTGTTTAACAACACTGTGAGCAAGAAATCTTGGCAAGATAGTTCTGCTGTAAAGGAGCACAGCTGAACTCTTCTTTCAGTCACAGCATCTCACTGGATTCCTCAGGCTAAAAAGCCCTTTCAGAAGCAGATTTCTTTATTGCTGATTTTTGTAAGTCTATTCCATTAGGATACATTTAATCTTATATTTATGTCCCTTATACTAGCATCCTTTATGCAAGCCTATAGTTTTGAAGTAGGTCTTTTCTGATTTTGTTTAAAAGCTCTCTTTCTGCATCTTCATAGTATTATAGTAAATTAGATCCACGCAAGCTCTCAGCTGTCTTCATTTGCCTTGGGGACTACATACCATTTTTTCAGACATGCCAAACATTGACGACCATGCTTCAATAAAGGTTTAGGCCCAAGTATGTCACCATAGAAACAGCAAAAATATATGCCAGAAGCTATCACAACTGAATAGGAACCAACCCTGAAAACATTTATGTATTTCCAAGCACAGTACTTATTTTTTGGCATTATAGTAGACCTAAAGACCCAGTTGAGATTGGCATACCATTGTATCCAGCACTGCAATGGGGCATAATGAGAAGCAAAGATTTTATGATGTAAATGAACAATCAGAAGGAGATATTTTCACCCACATTTTACAGAGCAATTAAGCCGCAGATTTTTAAAGGTAGTTGGGCATCTAAATATGCAGATATACACCTAATGGGATTTGCCAAAGAGTCTAAATCCCATTACAGTCAATGGGAATTAAGCAGTTATCTGTGTATTTAGGCCCCCCAGTACCTCTAAAAAACTGACCCTAAGTAATCTCCCTAAGGTCACACAGGAAGCCTGTCGCAGAATTGTAGTCTAGTGCATTAACCTCAAGACCAAACTTCCTCCTTAAAGTCAATGGGACTATTCATAGTAATCACTGTGTTCAGTAATAAAGTGTTCACAAAATCAGGATGTTAGTAAATATAAGAAAAAAAAACCCTTAGATTTTAATGAACTGATGAAACAAGAGAAAAATGGTGAATTAAATATCCTGAACAATATGATGTTAAAATGGGGGGGAAGGTATGTTACCAAAAGTGAACTTTTTTGTTGCTGGAATTGCAACCTGTAAGTGCGTCTGTGGGTCTTTTACTCACAGTAGCCCATGAGTTGGATTGCTGTGTCATGAGTGTGACCAAGTAGGTTTAATTGCAAATATCAAAATCGGCTTTGAAATAATTAATGCAGTTAAGGGTATTTTATTATCCAGTGAATGGGTACTTATGTAGCCCAGGGTTATTTGTTGCAAATGAAGATGAAGCATAGTGTAGCTAAAAATGAAATAACACATCAAGATGTGTAGCTCTGGCATTTATTCCAGCATGATATTGAGTTGCCTAACTACAGAAACATTTCTTAATATGATATCACAATTACAAAATAATTAAAATGGCAAATCAACAAACTCTAAGATTGCAAGATACAAACTTGGCAAAATATTGAACTTTGCTTACCAGAAAATACAGTTAGAGCTCTGAAAGACAGCCCAATTCTGCACTTAGTAGCTTACTTAAAATGCAGGCTTGGGTCCAAATCAGACACTTATGACATTAAGTGTTACTCATATAAGGTATATTTTTTGCTTTCTATAATTTGGTGCTTGTTTCATGGAACAATCAGATCATGTACTTGTTATCTCTTTCTATTTCTCACTGCTTCTTTTGCTTGCTTTCTCTACTTATTGTTTCCTAATTTCCTCTGGAGACTTTATGAATGCACAATTTGTGCATGTGTTTTATGCCATTTGTATTTGTGTTGAGGAAAACAATATCTCTCCCATGCCCCATAACAGAGAAGGAAAGGCAGAGGAGGGTGCATAGAAAACACATGCTCTTTTAATTTTTAGAAGCAAAAGCATACCCAGATTTTGTTATGAACCTATTTATTATTTCTTTTAATATATACAAAGATAATTTATCCTAAATTATGTAGGAAATATAACACATTTTAAAATACATAATTCATACAGAATAATAATAATGGAGATTGCCTATCTCCTAGATAGGGAAGGGACCTTGAAAGATCATTGAGTCCAGTCCCCTGCCTTCACAGCAGGACCAAGTACTATCCCTGATGAATTTTTGCCCCAAATGGCCTCCGCAAGGATTGAACTCACAACCCCAGATTTAGCAGGCCAATGCTCAAACCACTGAGCTATCCCTCCCCTTAATAAAATAAATAAGGGAGCTATCCCTTAATAAAATAAATAAGGGAGCTATCCCTCCCTCCTTAATAAAATAAATAAATTAAGCTGAAAACTTTTCTTCCTTTAATAATTAATCACCCAGTTGGTTCATCAGATGAAAAAATAAAAATAAGCCCTCTGTTATAAAAGTAAGACCTCCATCATAAAACTCCAGACTCACCAAACATTAAAAACAACAAAAAACAAAACAGATGAACCTTGCAATATGCCCGTAAAGTCATCAAACTGAGGCTATTTGAGACCAAGAAAGTCAGTAACAAGCCAAGCTGATAACTGACTCCTTATATAACTATACAGTTTTTCCACATGGAAGATATTTACAGTTACAAAGGTATCACTTTTCATTTCATTGCAAAAGACCTTGAGGTTATTGAACAGAAACTCAAAGACTCATACCCACCTTGTAAAATATTCCAAATATTTTGCTCCGAATTTGATTTGAAGACACTATTTTATATATGTAATTTAAATATATAATTAATTTGTTGAAAATATATTAATTAAATAAGTAATTAATAAACAATTTATTTATATATTTTAATTTAAATAACACTGGTTCTTGGCCCTCTCTCTCAGTCGATACAATACACTTTTGATTGCTAACCTAGCATCCTTTGACCAGATGGAAGAATGTCACTTTTCTCAATTTGGTTTTAACTGTTGATGAAGCTGTGGCAGGAATTTGTTGAAAATATATTAATTAAATAAGTAATTAATAAACAATTTATTTATATATTTTAATTTAAATAACACTGGTTCTTGGCCCTCTCTCTCAGTCGATACAATACACTTTTGATTGCTAACCTAGCATCCTTTGACCAGATGGAAGAATGTCACTTTTCTCAATTTGGTTTTAACTGTTGATGAAGCTGTGGCAGGGGTATCTGCTATTATCTAATACAGGCAGTCCCCAACTTACGTCGGATCCGCAGTTACGAATGGAGCTTTCTCGCCCCGGAAGTCGGGGCGAGAAAGCCCCGTTCGTAAGCTGCTCCGGT